TCAGAAGATGAAGATGATAGTGATTAGAAGATGAAGATGATAGTGATTAGAAGATGAAGATGATAGTGATCAGAAGATGAAGATGATAGTGATCAGAAGATGAAGATGATAGTGATTAGAAGATGAAGATGATTGTGATGAGAAGATGAAGATGATAGTGATCAGAAGATGATTGTGATCAGAAGATGAAGATGATAGTGACCAGAAGATGATTGTGATCAGCAGATGAAGATGATAGTGACCAGAAGATGAAGATGTTTGTGATTAGAAGATGAAGATTCATGGTTTTCACATAACAGATGTTTCTCTCAGACACACAGGAACCCTTCAGTGAACCCATTTAAATGAGAGATGAACAGAGTCCGACTCTGGCTTTATTATTCAGGATCTCTCTGTCAGGAAAGAGATGCAGCACTCTGCTTTAAAACACACACGTACGCACACACCTACACTTACATACACCTACATACACACACACACCTACACATACACACACACACACACACACACAGATATGTGAATCTCCTCTGACTTTAAGTAGATAATGAGGTATTCTTTGAAACCAGCAGGAGGCGATTACAGAGGTTTGTGTGTGTGTGTGTGTGTGTGTGTGTGTGTGTGTGTGTGTGTGTGTGTGTGTGTCTGACAGGTTCGGCTCAGTGAGTACGCAGGTGGAATTAAGCAGCTGGTCACACACACAAACACACACAAACACACACAAACACACACACACACACAGAGGTAACTGTTGCAGATTCCTTGACACCATAAACACATAAAAATAAACTGGATTCACACATTTAGTGTCCAACGTTTGTTCACACACACACTCTCACACACACACACACACACACACACACACACACACACACTCACTCACCAGCCTCAGCGAAGGTGATGATCTCTGTCGTCTCCTGCGCGTCTCCACCGTCTCCCATCCGAGCTGCCGCCACGGCCGCCGCCGCTGCTCCTCCTCCTCCCCGCCCTCGCGTCTCCTCCTCCCCCCCC